AACAAGAAATTCTATGGGAAGTGAAGTGCCTACAGACATCTCATGGATTCTGTATCTGGGAAATGAATTCGTTTATTATTTTTGTTTTAAACACGATTGAAATCACTGCTTACAAACGTGTGATTTTTTTTTAAGACCAAAACTGTTCTGAAGAACGTACCCATGTGCCTTTTTGACAGTTTGATGCTACAGTAGAATGATATATGAAATGAATTAATGTAAACACATCCACACTGTACTGTGGGGTATAGGTACTCTGATTTAAAACTTTGGACATCTTGTGATTTGTCTTAAAGTAGGGGAAACTTTAGATGACTAGGGACAAATGTGTAAACCTATTTTCCTATAAAAAAAATTTTAAATGTCCCACTTGAATAATGTAATTCTTCATAGATTTTTTTTTAATCTGTGGAGAAATGGAAACCTAATTATTTGTAATGAATTATTTACAGTTCTAATCTCTGTCTTCTGGGAGTTATCAGTTTTAAAAAGAACTTTTTGTGCAATTCAAAATGAAGTTTTTATAAGTAATTGAAAGTGACAATACAGTAACACTTTCTGTATAAAAGTATATATTTTATGTGATTTATTCCTACTAAATGAAAGTGCACTACTGCCTCATGTAAAGACTCGTATACAGAGCCTTTAAGTGACTAAGGAACAACACCCATAGTGATAATAGGCCCTCACCTCTGCCCTTCACAATTTATTGGAATACTGCAATTGTGCCTCTCAATTTTTTGTAATGCTATAAAATCAGTATCTAGATGGTTTTTAAATGTATTCTTCAAAAATTGTTTTATGTACAATAAATGTTACTTAATTACATTAACGTGGCTCTTATGGTGTCTTAATAAAGTATAAATTGGGACCAGCAGATGTCATAATGGACTCCCACACAGTCAACTAGGGTTCAAGTCCCAAACCTGGCAGTTTCACACCAGGCATGTATGCATGCATGCCCAAAATCCTGAGAGGAGACTGGAGGAGAAGGGATTACAGTGTGGCCATCCCCTTTGGGGGGGAGGTGATTTCTTGCTTTCTGTCTCTCTCACTCGCTCTGTCTCTCTGGTGAGTGCACTCACCCTATAGCAAAAAAAAATCTCTAAAGTAAATTAATAAATAAAAATAAAATATAAATTATTCAGTGGGTAAGAAAAGATTATTGGTGGGGCTTATCCAGAAAAGAATAATATACCTATAATTGTACTGATTAATATATGGTGTAAGCCATATAAAGAAGAGATACAAAACCCTTGTGGCTGAAAAAGATACAAATTTGTTTTTTCTTGAATTCAGCAGTTGAAAGATAGGGGAGTGAGTCCACCAGGTGATGCAGGGATCTAGGCCAGCCGGTTGGCTCTGTACACAGCACTGATTCCCACCCAGCAGGAAGGGAGAAAAAAGTCCAGGGTACGCCCATTTAAATTACACAGGTCACTTGTGTTTACATTCCGTGAGACAGAACTAACCACATGGTAATAGCTAGTAAGGATGGTACCTAACTAGGCAGCCATGTATCTGATTCAAATTGGGGAATTTGAATTTTATTAATAGGGAAAAAGTGATTCCTATGGAAATTTAGCCATCTCCACCACACTAATAATTCAGACTGGACCTTCCTGACACTGTTTTTTCTATTCATTCATTTGACAGGCTTTATTCTCCTTGAAGATTGGGGGAAAAATACTAAAAAAAAAATTGCTTAGCTTATGCTTCCTTGGCACAAATGATCTTTACATGTAAGATCAACAGATCTTGGAACATTCAAGTTAAAAAATGTAGAATCCACTATTTTCGTGATTGTTTCATCTTTTCGACAAGGAGGTGAATATCTTGAAGCAATACTATCAACAGTTCATGTATGTGTACATTTTAACATATTACTCTTAATATAGACTCTGTGAAAGGACTCAGGCACACTCTCAAGTTTCCCCTAGAGAATAAACCTCTGTCCCCTACAGGAGGCAGTGGGTGTGTGTGTGCGTCAGGAAAGATGTGGCTAGTGGAAGGGTACAGAAAGAGCCAACATTAGGGAGCAATGTTTGGAGGCGAAGGCCAGTTTTCATCGCCCCTCTGAAGGGAGGTGGTTTGCAGTTATTCCAGCACTGAATGGCCTGCTCGAGTGTTGTCCGTATGAATTAGGATGTTTGCATCATGCCAATGCCCTCAAGGGAAGCTGGGATTATTTTCTCTCTCAGCCTCGAGGCAAGGATACTATTGACGATACTCCAATTGCTGTGTGTGTGATCTTTTCCGAAAGATAAGGAAGAGCGAATAACCCCGAGGAAGGCACAGGGAGAAGGAAAGAAGCAACGAGAAGCAGTAGAGGCGTGGGTGTAGCAGGCCTAGGCTTGCGGAGCTAATGGAAGCCAAGGCCCGTGCCACTCTCTGGGGGACTGGACCGTCCAACCCCAGCACTCAGCACTGCTCACCGACTTCCTCCCCAGGGCTTACGGCTCTTCCTGCTCAGTGGGGAACATTTCAGAATACTGAGTGCTGTGAACGACAGCTTTATGTTAGCAAAGCTGACTCCCGTCATTTCTCCTGGATTGGTCATGCTTCCACTTTGGTCTGAAAAGTTGTAAGAGCCCATGCTCCTTAAACTCCACTCTGACACCAGGGACTTTAAAAAGGCAAAAAATGGGACATTGACGTAATGGCTATGTCACTGGACTCCCATGTAGTCAACCACAGTTCGAGTCCTGGACCCAGGCTTGAACTCACATCGGGCACGGGTGCGTGTGTGCCCAGGATCCTGAGAGGAGAATGGAGGAGAAGGGATTGAGGCATGGCCATCCTCCCTGGGGGGTGATTTCTCGCTTTAAAAAAGAAAAGAAAAGAGAAAAAGAAAAAAAGAAAAGTGCAAAAATGATGTAGGCGGTGCTCTAGCTGCTCTCGAAGATGTGCTCTAGTGACCACCAAGAGGGGAGCCTCGTGTGCCTTATACTGGACGCTGGCGAAGAAGGAGACCGCCTCGGTGTGTTCATTGATCTGAGAGATCGGAACTCTGATGGGTATGCTGTGTGGGGTGTGGGGAGAGGTTGGACACCAGAGGTGCTATTCATGATGTTATTGTTATTACTCTGAGGTTAAGTAGGGCTTTGAGGTATTCCTCAAGCATTCCAAGAGGCAAACCACAGAACTCTGAATGGCGAGAGCTGTGTATCTTTTAAAAATTCTGGCGAGCATTGGACGGTCTTACAGCTAGTTAGCTTTTGAAAACTGTATTTTCTCTGTTACTGAAAATCAGGACCTGATCACTGGTTAAAAGAAAGTCTTTAAGGTTAGCCTGGCAGATAGCAAGGTGGTTAAGGCACTGGCCTCCACATGTCTGACCATGGTTCAAGTCCTGGACTTTCATCGCCCCTCTGAAGGGAGGTGGTTTGCAGTTATTCCAGCACTGAATGGCCTGCTCGAGTGTTGTCCGTATGAATTAGGATGTTTGCATCATGCCAATGCCCTCAAGGGAAGCTGGGATTATTTTCTCTCTCAGCCTCGAGGCAAGGATACTATTGACGATACTCCAATTGCTGTGTGTGTGATCTTTTCCGAAAGATAAGGAAGAGCGAATAACCCCGAGGAAGGCACAGGGAGAAGGAAAGAAGCAACGAGAAGCAGTAGAGGCGTGGGTGTAGCAGGCCTAGGCTTGCGGAGCTAATGGAAGCCAAGGCCCGTGCCACTCTCTGGGGGACTGGACCGTCCAACCCCAGCACTCAGCACTGCTCACCGACTTCCTCCCCAGGGCTTACGGCTCTTCCTGCTCAGTGGGGAACATTTCAGAATACTGAGTGCTGTGAACGACAGCTTTATGTTAGCAAAGCTGACTCCCGTCATTTCTCCTGGATTGGTCATGCTTCCACTTTGGTCTGAAAAGTTGTAAGAGCCCATGCTCCTTAAACTCCACTCTGACACCAGGGACTTTAAAAAGGCAAAAAATGGGACATTGACGTAATGGCTATGTCACTGGACTCCCATGTAGTCAACCACAGTTCGAGTCCTGGACCCAGGCTTGAACTCACATCGGGCACGGGTGCGTGTGTGCCCAGGATCCTGAGAGGAGACTGGAGAAGAAGGGATTGAGGCATGGCCATCCTCCCTGGGGGGTGATTTCTCGCTTTAAAAAAGAAAAGAAAAGAGAAAAAGAAAAAAAGAAAAGTGCAAAAATGATGTAGGCGGTGCTCTAGCTGCTCTCGAAGATGTGCTCTAGTGACCACCAAGAGGGGAGCCTCGTGTGCCTTATACTGGACGCTGGCGAAGAAGGAGACCGCCTCGGTGTGTTCATTGATCTGAGAGATCGGAACTCTGATGGGTATGCTGTGTGGGGTGTGGGGAGAGGTTGGACACCAGAGGTGCTATTCATGATGTTATTGTTATTACTCTGAGGTTAAGTAGGGCTTTGAGGTATTCCTCAAGCATTCCAAGAGGCAAACCACAGAACTCTGAATGGCGAGAGCTGTGTATCTTTTAAAAATTCTGGCGAGCATTGGACGGTCTTACAGCTAGTTAGCTTTTGAAAACTGTATTTTCTCTGTTACTGAAAATCAGGACCTGATCACTGGTTAAAAGAAAGTCTTTAAGGTTAGCCTGGCAGATAGCAAGGTGGTTAAGGCACTGGCCTCCACATGTCTGACCATGGTTCAAGTCCTGGACCTGGTGGCTTGCTTTCTCACTTTCCCTTTACTCTCTTGGATCAAATTTAAAAATAATAAATAAATTTAAGTACATAAATAATTCTTTACAAGGAGAGAAAGAGAGTCCTCTGAGCTCCAGAGGACAGGATCTGTGTTTTGGTCACTCTGGAAGTCTGGAGCCTGGCAGTACCTTGTAGATGGCAGGCATGGACGTGGGCCCTGGCAATGGGCTGAAAAGGAGACAGACCCCACTGCCCTCAGCAGGCCAGTATTAACTGTTGGCTGGCACCTGT